AAACAAAACACAAAATCACAATAATATTATCACATCTTGTACATTAACAGTGATTTCTGAGTAAGTGTCCTGGCCAGTGTCTCAGATGCACTGCTATCAAGTAGCAAAGCAGGGATTTTTGCCCTTGGCCTTCACACTGCCCTGCCTCTCTGTGCTGGCAGCTCAGGCACAGGCATGCAGACATGGGTGCTGCACCCTCTCGCCTGGGCCCTGCCCCTGGGGATGATTCAGGAATGGCTCTGGTGACCCCCAACCTCATGGACAGGGAGATGGAAGATGTGGGGCAGTTCTTACCTTGACACGTGTTCTCACTCTCATTTTTGAACATTCTTGCCCCAGAAGCAAGCTCATATCCTGGAATGCACATGCAGTTGTAGCTCCCCTCCGTGTTCTGGCAATCTGCAAATTTTCCACAGGACACTGCCGAGAGTGGTCCGCACTCATTAATGTCTGGAACACAATGGGGCAAAGGGTCACCTCCCAAAGACATGAGTTCCTTCAGGAAGAGAACACTATCCATCACCTGACTCCCCAGCATGGGGGCTGATGCTTAATCTGTGTCTTTTGGGAAAAGATTAGATTCGTAAGGTATGCTGCAGAGGCTGGGCTGCAGCTGGAGCAAGACATTCCTGAAGCCCACTCAGCTCTCTTCTCTGTCCTCTGGCTGGCATCCTGGATTTGAGTTTGTTCAGTAGGGAGTGCAGAGATGGGGGTGGGGCGTGGGTGGCAACTCTGCATCTTCCTCCCCCATCCTGGAAGGGCAAAGTGAAACCAGACTCCAGAGCTCCTCTCTCTCTAAGAAGCCATGTTTATTTACTTATTTTCCACCTTTCTATCTTGTCCTTTCTATTTCTCTGCCCTTGATGACAATCCCAAGACCAAAGGCCAAGAACCCAACCACCACTCACATCCCTCACAGGCACTGGGCTATGCCCCACCATCTCTGCGCCCCTCCACCACCCCAAGCCCCTGTACCATCACAGCTCTCCAAAAGGCTGGCGAAGATCACCCCGGAAGAAGAACTGAATCCCGGGGAACAACGACAGGCAGTGGCATTGACACACATGGAATTCGGAGGGCACCAGCGAGCACAGTCTGTGGGGAAGGTTACCAGTGTCAGAAGGTGAGGTCTGAGCCAGGTGCTCAGGAGGAGGGCAGGACCATCTCCAAAGGAGGGGTTGCTGGGAGGGGCAGTCCTGGCCTCCCCCTGTAGCAGGCATCCTTCCTGCCTTGGCTGTGGGGGTCCAGGGACCATCCCCCAGGCTCTGGCTGTGGACTACTTTGCTCCCAGCAGACTCACCACTGGTTTTCTGGGACCCAGCTTCCAACAGAATCAGGAAGATACCCAGCACTGGAAGAGAGAGAGAGGGTGTGTGTTGGGGAGTGCCCAGAGCAGGGAAGGATTGATGGAGAACTGAGGCTGACACATCTGAGGGAAGAGGGCTGCTGAACCCTCCCAGACTGGGGCTCTGTCCGTCACTAATGAGAGAGCGAGCAGCCCTCCCTGGACACCCGCGCTCACAGCCAGAATGTCTGCCACCATCGCCTGGGGATGGGTTTCAGACGGAGGGTGAGGAAGGGGCCCAAGCCCGATGGGGGTCTTGGCTCCTGCTGATCTGTGACAACAGTTGAGTAAACAGATGGGAGATGGGTGACCCTGGTTCAAATCCCAGACCTTAGCCAGGTGATCTCACTTCCCAGTGTCTCAGTTTTCCCATCCGTTGAATGGGAATGATGACGGACCACCCTTCCTCTCGGTGTGTGAGATCTAAGCACGTGAATGCTGCCTGGTATGTCCAAGTGTTTATATCATCGTTGCTTTACATGAAGGTGAAGGGGTTGGAGCAAGTGCTCTCTCAGATGCCCAGGAATCTAAGGTGCTCCGGCCCCCTGAACCCTGGCTTGGGGACACAGGTGCGCACATACCACACCCACGACATCTGTCAGCCCAACCAACTGGCTTGAGACGCAGTGGTGACAGTTCACCCCCGGCTCCCTGCACACAGGAAGACACTGTGGGCTCACACTGGGGTGGGGGTGCTCTTCTCCTGCTGTCCTTGTTGCTCAGGGGCACCCTACACCCCAGGCATGTGTTTGGGGGTCCTCCTCAAGTCAGCAGGGGCTCTAGGGACAGGAAGCTTCTTGTTCACCAGTGAAAGAGGCTCGGGGATAGTGATGGAGAGAAAATAAGGAGAGGGAGAGAGAGGAACAGAGAGAGAGAGAAGGAGCCAGAGACACAGAGAGAGGAGAAAGTGGAGGGAGGGAGCAGAGAGGTGTGTGGGAGAGAAACAAACAGAAGTTAAGGCAGTGCTAGACATGGACGGAGAAGTAGGGCACTCATGGAAAGACAGAGCAAGATGGCAGAGATTGGACAAAGAGATTTAGAGATAGAGAGATCGAGAGCAAGATGGGAGACAGAGACACAATTAGAAGGAGGGGAGTGAATGGGAACAGGGAGGGAGGGAGGAGGGTGCCTCAGCAGCAGGTGGGGGCATGGGAAGGGCTCGGGGATGTGTCCAGTCTCTGCCAATCTGGGAAGGCTGGCGAAGCTATGGACACCCCACTTATCCGGGGAGACCCAAAGCAGGGTGGTGGGTGGAAGGATGGGGGCCGGGAGGGAGGGCAGGAGGGCATGAGTCACTTCCTGGGCCAAGGGGAAGGGATGACTCACACTCTATTGCCCCTGGATGGGGCTCCCAGGGGAATTCTGGGCTTGGCTATTGTGAGCACAGCTTGAGGGCCTATGGAGTACACAGACTTGAGGGTACCTCAAACATTTAGTTCCTGTGTCTAAATTGGATACCGCTCAGGCCAGTGGGGGTCCAGAGATCCCCCTCCCACAGGTCCTCCCAGCCAAGGTAAACTGAGGCTGGAATGCCCTTCCCTTCCCTTGAATGAGGATCCCTTTCTTCCTCCTCTCTGGCCACAGGGCTTGACTCGTCCCTTAGCCGAGACCTACTTCCTCTTTGTGGGACAGACCACAAAAGGACCTTCTCTGGCAGGGTGGGATCTGGACTGATGTGTCCCCAGCTCCCAAAACCCCAAATAGCAACCGTCATGCTCAGAACTGCCCTAGGAGGCAGGGGCTCTCGTCATGTCCACTCTACAGATGGACAAACTGAGGCTTGGAGCCCAGAAAAAGCTCAGAAGAGTCTGGTGAGAAAAGGGGCACTGAGGAAAGCGGAATGGAGTTCAAGTTCCCCAGACCCTGGTGTTTGGGGGGATTCTTTTGTACCCTATCCTCTCCACTGGGGCTGGGCTGGGATCTCCTCCCCGCCACCGCCCTCCAGCCAAGGCTGCCGGGCCAGGCCTTCTCCATCTGGGGCCCTGGAAGTCACCCAAACAGGAGCTGGGAGAGGAGCTGTTGGTCATCCTCTCCCAGTCGCATCTGGTTTGCATTGCCTGTGGAGCCCTGAGCAATAGATTCTTGCTTAGGGACCCTGGGGGGAGGAGGAGGGGGTGGGGCAGTCACCCTCCTCTTGCTCCTCCTGCTAAGGGTCCCCTAGCCCAGACCCCAGACCCACCAGTGTCCTGCCCAGAAGGCAATAAGACAAATTAAGATAAAAAATAAAATACCGTTTCCTCAATTCTTACTGTGAACCAGGAATAGTTTGTGTTGAACTCAGTCAACACTTAACCCTATAAAGTGGAGACAAGGTTCCCCCCATTTTACTGATGTGGAAAGTGAGTTCAGGGGCTCCATGACTTGGCTCCAGAGACACACGGCCCTCCATGAGTTGTGTCCCACTTAGACTCCTGCCCTTGCTCCCAAGGAAAGCCAGGGTGGAGCTTGTGGGTGGGGCTCTGCTCACGCTTGGCACCCTGGGCCACCACAGGGAACCCCCGTCCCTGTGGCCCAGGGAAGCTCTGGTTGTGGCACCCCAAATGTCATTTCTCCACTCTCTTTGTTGCCTGGTTGCTCAGGCAACAAGCTGTCCTGATAACCATAACCGTTAGAGACACCCTGGGTGGGGCGGGAAGGGAGGAGGGGTGGGGTGGGGGGAAGTCGCGGTAAAAAATCAAGTTCAAACCCACAGCGGGCAAAATTCTTTCAACCCATGGTGGAGTCCTGGATGGGTCTGGGGGAGCAAGTGTGGGGTTCTCTGGGGCTGCCCCTGTCACTGAGACAATGGGGGACATGTTGGGAGTAGCCCCCCCCCCCAGTGAAGTGGTCCTGTCTCCTAGCTCCTCAGCATCCCCCATGCCCTATGTTAAAAGCAGTTCCCTACAGGGTCCCAGCCTCCTCTCCTTCCCCCATGCCTCAGCTTCCCCTCTTAGGGGGGCAGCCCCCAAAGTGTTTCTGGGACAGAGCCCAGAGATATGAGTGGGCATGGGGGCTCCTAGGGCACATTGGGGGTTTCTGCCCAGGCTGGGGGTGCCCCAGCTCTGCCAGCCCTTCTCTCCATGTGCCCGCCTGGCCATGTGGCTTCCTCCCCTGCGGGGACCCAGAGCGGCCAGCCACACCTTCCATTTCTCCACGGGGCAGGGAGTGCCAAAGCTCCCAGCAGGGGTGCTTTCGTAGCCCCCTTGTCCCTCCCAGCAGGGTCCCCAAATCCTCACCTTGAAGGAGGAGAAGGAGGCTGCAGCGGCGGGGGGCCCCCATGGTCTGAACTGCCAGCTGGGGAGGCAGAGCATAGGCAGGGCTGTCCAGTCTCCCCAGGCTGGGCAGCTGCGTGGTGTCCCGAGGCTGGCTGGCTGGGACTTTATGAAGTGCGGGGGTTGGGGGAGGACAGAGGCTGGCCCAGGGCCCTCCCCGGAACTGGCGGGGCAGCTGGAAGCCAACAGGAAAAGTGCAGTAAACACAGACCCAGAGGCGTTGCACGGGCTCATACACATAGACACACACACACACACACACACACACACTCATGTAGGAACAACCTGCTCTGCTCGCAAATCCTTTGCCTCCCGTTCTACCATGTGAGCGACTGACAAACTCTGGCCCCCGTGAGTCTGGGCTGGCTAGAGCCCAGCGGAGGAAAGTGGGGCTGTGCAGGCAGGGGCGGGGTGGCAGTCGTGCCCGGGGCGCCACCTGGCTCTTCTTGCAGGGGTGTTCAGGTTGGGGAGGCTATGTCGGAAACGGCTTGGGGCTCACGTGTTGGGGGCAACCTGTGGTCCCTGCCTTGGCATGGCTGCCTGAGTCTCCAGGGCCGGCCTCTGAGCCAACAGCAACCCCCATCCCCGGTTTCCAGGTGAGGAAACTGAGGTCCAGAGACACAGTCCAAATGGGAGTGAGGGGGGTAGCTTGAAGGGGCCCCTCACAGGGGCCAGGTGGGCACCAAGAGGAGAAACTGGGGGGCCATGGGCCACCATGCTTCTGGCGCTGGCCTTTCTGGGCCAACCTGCCCCGGTGTGGGAAACTTAACATCGCAGGGGCTCCTGGGCAGCAACAGAGAATCACGTGATGATGATGAAGTTCTACAACCTAGGAGAGGTTCGGTGGGCTGAAGTCCGGAGCCGATGACCAAGAAAGAATTCTTGAGACATCTTTGGTGCAAAATGGTGGTTTATTAAAGCACGGGGACAGGACCCGTGGGCAGGAAGAGCTGCTGCCCCGGGTTGTGAGGGATGGCAGGTTGTGTACCCTGCGGTTGGGGGAAGGTGAAGGAAGGGAGGTTTCAACGGAGCTTTCATATGCTAAAGAGGGCCTACAAGGTGCCGAGATTCCGGAGGTCTCACGGCTTGATCAATGTTGTCTTTTGGCAAGCTGTTAACATCAAGATAGTTGGGAGATTCCTGTCTTGCAGGATTGTGATCTCTGCAAGTTAACTATTTGTTTCTCGTTTATGGCAGTCAGGGGTGCCTGAGGTAGTATGTGTGACTACTGAGGGGAGCGGGTGGAGAGGGGGTGCAAGGTGCCAGCTTTTGCTTTGTCCTCAGTCAGCCTCCTGCTCCTTCATCAATGAGAAAGTTGTTTCCTTTTCTAATAAATCACATGACTGGCTTGTCTCCTGAGCCATCAAATAATTTTTTAAAAAGACACTATTATTTATAAAACGCTTAATTGGAGCCAGGCGTGATTCTCCTAGAATTATCTATGCATCTATCTTAACCCATTGACTCTGCCAAACTTGAGGCAGGTGGGGCTATGATTCCCATTTTACAGAGGAGGAGGTCAAGGCACAGGTAACAAGTGGCTGAACAGGGACACAGTCCTCCAGTCCCTGCCCACAGCTCAAGGTCCAGAAGAAAGTCTCTAGGAGGAGGTGCTAATGTGTCTTTTAACACCTTTGGGGCCCTGGGGCTGAGCTGTGGTGGTATCCAGCCTGAACCCAAGTATCATTTGTTTTTCCATTTACCAACTCTTGGGGCAAAGAGAGGGTTTTGCAACTAGGATGTCAATATAAAGTTTCCTTTTTATTTTTTTTTAATTTTTTAAAAAGATTTTACTTATTTATTTGACAGACAGATCACAAGTAGGCAGAGAGAGAGGGGAAGCAGGACCTGAGCCGGAGGCAGAGGTTTAACCCACTGAGGGCGCCCCTAAAGTTTCCTTTAAATAAATGGTTTCAGGGCCGCAGAAGTGTAGAAAATTAAAGAAAATATTAAGTACATGATAGGTCAAAAGAGAAAGATTGCTGGTCATGGAAAAAAAGGGTCATGAATGGATGGAGCCTGGCCACTGCCAGAATTAACCCCTTCCTGCCATTTCCCTCCCATCCCCATCCCTTTGTTCTGGGTGGCGCATGGGAAGGGTTTTGCTGGAGACTCAAGGCGTTTGGGCAGGAGGGCAGGAGGACCCAGGAGGATGCTGGGAGGTGGGATGGCCAGATCAGGTCTGGAGCGGATTTTTGAATTTTTTTTTTCCAGAATCTGGAAACCTCAGGGCTGGACATCCCCTTCCCACAGGACTGCAGGTCAGATAGTGGGTACCTGGAGAAGCTGGGGCTTGGGGGGTCCAGCTTGGGGGAGGTAGGAGGAGCCGTCCTGGGTATTGTCCCCACACCTATCCTCGCCCTTGGTGACCACCATCTATTCTTTGGCTTTTTCTTCCCTGGTGTGTGTGTGTCTTGGGTCCTTGGAGCAGGTCTGAATTCCCTGGGGCTGTTTTCCTGTCTGGTGAATTGGATTAAAATGCCTGCCCGCTGGCCTCACAAGTCAGGGTGAGGAAGGAACAGGGTAACAGGAGGAAAGGCTCGGAGATGTTGGGTCCAAGATTGGGGGAGGCACAAAGAAAGATAACCTTAGCATCACCACCACAATCTGGCCTGTCAGCAAGTCCTGGGGCCCTGCCCGCAGAAAACCCAGAATCTCCCCACCTCTCCTTCTCATTGGCCCCCCACCCTGGTCTAGGGCTGTCATCTCCAGCCTTGGTGTTCTGGCTCCTGCCCCCACACTCTGTTCCCCTCACAGTGACCCTGAGGGCACCTGAGAACACCTGAGTCAGGTCACACCCCTCCTCAGCTCAAGAGCCCTCCAGGGCTCCCAGCTCACGGGTAAAATCCCCAGTCCTCCCACAGCACATAAGACCCTGTGTGTTCTGCCCTGTCACCTCTGTGTCCTCACCTCCTCCTGCTCTTTCCGTGCTCACTTGGCTGCCACTTTCCTTGTGGAAAACACCAGGCACAATCTGACCTCAGGGCTTTTGCACAAGCTGTTGCCTCTGCCTGGAACATTCTTACCCCAGATAACCATCTGGTTCCCTCCGTCCTCCCCTTCATGTTTTGGTTCAATTTCCTGACCCACCCCTCAAGTCCACATATAATCCCCTCCCATCCTCAGCACCCCAGCTCCTCCCAATGTTCTCGATTCTCTGTATTGTCGCTGCCTCCCATCATGGACTATACCTACTTACCTCGCTTACTGTCTGCCCACACCCCGCCAGACTGTCAGCTCCGGGGGCAGGACTCTGGTCCATTCGCATCTCTGCAGTCCGTGGCACAGCGCCTGCACCCAATAAGGCTCCATACTTAGTACCCACCCCGCCAACACACCCCTGTCGCTGCCCCCTGCTGAAGGAAACCCCCTTCAGGCTTCCTGATCTGGCCCTTGCTGGGGTGTCACACTGTTCCTTCTCCTTCCCTCTGTCCTTAAGTTCCAGCCCCACTGACCTATTTGGCAGCGCCACCCCCACCTCCCCAGACAATCTTGTGACCTCTGTTCCACAGCAGGGAGGCAGGGACATGATGGGTCCCTATGTGTCCGAGGGGAAACTGGCACCTGGAGTGCTGGGCCACTGGCAGGAGGCTCCTCACCTAGGAAGTGGCTGAGCCAGGATTATTCAACCAATACTACTACTACTACTACTACTACTACTACTGCTACTACTACTACTACTATTTATACTGTATTCTATTCTATGTTTTGATGATTGTAGCTACAGCAGTAACAAATCATCCTGGTGGAAGGCAGTGCTCATCCAGCACCTACTCACCAGGCCCCCTTCTAAGCACTCTACAGGGATTGAGCTCCCTGATCTTAGAAGGCAGGTGCCGCGATTTCCATTCGCAGGGCGGGCTAACGGAGGCACGACACCATGACGGGACTTGGAATCACAGGGCATGCCCATCTCAGATCAGAGGTCCCCAGCAAGCCCCATCTCTTCCCCTCTGGGACCATAGGGTCTTGGGCAGGTGATGTCCCTGGGCCTCAGTTTCCTCATCTGTGAAATGGCTGGCACCTTGCCAAGCGCAGGTGAGGGTCATAAAAGAGAGCACAGATTGCAAGGGTGTAACTAGGAGGGAATGCTCAGTGAACAGCAGCTGTAGCTCTTAGGGTACACCCCTTCTCTTTGCTGTGGTGGGGAGGGAGACAAGGGGACCCCAGGGTCCTGCCTCCCAGCCTCTTGTGCTGCCTACCTATGCCCAGCACCCACGCTAGCCCATGCTGAAGTGGGGGGTCAGATGTGGTCTCTGGCTGGAGGGGGACTAACAGGAAGCCCCCTGCTTGGGAGACAATGGCAGAGGAAGGGGCTGGGCCAGCCCCCACACGGATGAGCCCAGCTGCGGCTCCAGGAGGGCGGCACAGCTATTGTGAGTCCAGACAGCTGTCCCTGAGCCAGGAAGCCCCAGGAAGCTAGGGAAAAAAGTGGGAGGTCGCTGGCCGACCCTGACCCCCAACCCAGGCCAGGCCTGACAATGGACCCTTTGTCTCCTCCTGCAGGCTGGACACCTGGATTCCACCCCACCCCCCAGGCTGGGCCCCCAGGGTCCCCCTAAGGAGACCAGGTGCCCAGCTGGCACACTCCTAACCCCCGCCACCCACACTGCCCAGCCCAGCCTGGGGAGTTAGCAGGCAGTGCTGAGCTGCCGTATTTATAGTTCCCTGGCACTGCTGAGCAAACTTCTAAATATAGTCGCCGAGCTATTTGGGGCCTCGGCCAGGGGTGGAGTGGGAGTAGAGGGCACCGCACGTGTGCCTCCCTGGCCTGGGCCCTCGAGAGGGCTTGGGCCTGTCTCCTGGGGCTGAGGCTGTGGAGGGGGGCCCTGGGGGGCCAGTTTGTCTGTCTGAAGGGGGGTACACAGAGAGAGGCGCAGTGGAGTTGCTCAGAGCCACAGCACAGGGAAACTGCCCGAGAGAGGTGCAGGCGTGTTCCAGGCCCAGGAGGAGGACACACATTTGTGCCTGGTGCCCCCAATGTCCCGTTCCTCCACTTCTTTCACGCCAAGAGCTACCAGGGTAGGGAAAGTGGACCGAGGTGTCACCACAATGTTCTCAGCTTCTAGGAAATAAAGGCCCCCAGGAAGTTGCAGGGACAGCCCTGAACCCCAAACAAACCCCAGCTCCTAGCAACCCACTTCCCCTTCCCCATCAGGGCTGACCTCACTGGTGGCCCGTGTGGGGGGTGGTGACAAGGGGGGGGGTTGGGATGGGGCTATAAATAGCCAGTTTATAAGCAGCTGCTGAGCCAGCTGGGGCAGAGGGTGGCTCTGGAGCCCAGAGGGCTTCTCATGGACAGCAGGACCCCAGAGTTGCCAAGATTTAGGGAAGTAAGGGGGACGCGAGGGACAAGTTGCTTAAAACCAGCAACGTCAACGATTCCTTAAAGTAGCGCCCTAAAAAATAAAAATAAAAATAAAAATAAAAAGTAAAGCACCACTTTAACTTGATGGCCACTGAGACTTGAAGGAAAGCTTAGTGCTTCCTCAGCTATGGGCTCACGGGATTGGAATATCATACAGTCAGAGAAAAAGAATGCCAGGGGTGTGCCCCCAGATGGGCTGGCTCTTGGCAACATACTCCTTTCTTAATTTAAAAAACAGAGGGGGGGCGCCTGGGTGGCTCAGTGGGTTGAGCCTCTGCCTTTGGCTCAGGTCACGATCTCAGGGGCCTGGGATCGAGCCCTGCATCAGGCTCTCTGCTCATTGGGGAACGTTCTTCCCTCTCTCTCTCTCTCTCTGCCTGCCTCTGCCTACTTGTGATCTCCCTCTGTCAAATAAATAAATAAAGTCTTTAAAAAAAAAAAAAGTCTCATGCTAAAAAAAAAAAAAAAAAAAAAAACAAACCCAAAACAGAGGGGCGCCTGGCTGACTCAGTTGATGGAGCATACAACTCTTGATCTTGGGGTTGTGGGTTTGAGCCCACATTAGGTGTAGAGATTGCTTAAAAAATAAAATCTTTTTTCTTTCTTTCTTTTTTTTTTTTTTTTAAGTAGGCTTCACACCCAGCTTGGAGCCCAACACAGGGCTTGAACTCATGACCCTGGGATCAAGCCCAGAGCTGAGATCAAGAGTCCGACACTTAACTGACTGAGCCACCAAGGTGCCCCTAAAAATAAAATCTTTAAAAGAAAGAATGAAGTGCAAAAATCTTCATTTATTTGACAGGGGTCATGGTAGAAATTTTTTTTTTTTTTTTTTTTTTTTTTTTTTTGGCTCTCCTCAGGCATAATTGACAAAATAGTGATAGGCTTAAAGCATATGACACGATGATTTGATTGTAGTAGAATCCTGAGGAAAAAAGAAGTGCCAAAAGCCCCACACAAAAGCCACCCTCATTCTAAAGCTCACAGACAGAGAAAATGAAACAAGTTAAGATTTCAGCATACAAACATAGGTAAACATACTTTTAGAAAGCCTGTGGGGAAGAGAATAAGAAAGAGAACCCTGGGCGATGGAAGGAGGGAGCGGGGTCCTGTCCCAGTTCACGGTGGGCAGAGGGCTTCATGGGTGTGCCTTAGGGAATTAAAAAAAAGTTAATGAACAAAGTAAGTTAAAGCAGGTCATGGGTGGACGGATGTTCATTGATTCTGGGAACCGGAGGCCTTGTAAATGTCTTTTGGAAATTTTCAAATGTTTGAAGGCTTTAATGAGAATCACTTAGAGGAAGGGAAGAGAAATGGAAAGCGGTGTAGGGAGAGGCCCAGCTGGGGACTTGAGCAGGGGGTGTGCAGGTTGCAGTGGGTGGTGTGGGCGGGACTCTGCCGCCAGCGACAGGAAGCCCTGCAGCCCTGAGCTGAAACGCGGGGCAACACTCAGGGGCCTTTCTGCCTCTTCCTCACAGAGCTCTCAGTCTCTACCCCACTCTGCAAGGGTTTCTGGGAGTGGGCGGCTGCAGGCCAACAATGCCCAGTGAGGGCAGTCTCTATCTCCGGGGACCCTGCGATGGGGTCCCAGGATGTGGGGCAGGGCGAGGAAGGAATAGAATTCAGGCTGACTGCCCGCACCAACTTCACGCTATGCTTCAGTGTCCCCATCGGTGCGCCCTACGTCACTGGTCTCTGAGGTCCTGGGCCATGGTGCTGGTGCTGATGGTCATGACCAGTCCCAGAAAGAAGTGATGTATTTTGGGAGCCAGGGGCTTCAGAAAGAATAACCCCCCACCCCCAGCATTCTATTAGCAACTCTCAGATAGATGCCCGAAAGAGCTGAAGGCAGGGACTCCAACAAACTAGGGGAAACAACCCAACTGTCCATCAGTGGGTGAATGAATCAACAATATGGGCCACATCCATGCAATGGAATATTAGCCATAGAACAGGAAGGAAGTTCTGGAACACACCACGACATGGACGGAGGGAGGGGTTGCACAATTTTGCAAATATGTCAAATGCCACTGGATTGTTCGCTCTTGGATGGTTAGTTTTATGGATGTGAGTTTCACCTAAATGTAAAAAACAAAAAACAAACCCTAAGCAGGTCATGGCAGTGTCCCCCACCAGTACCCTGGGCATCTCTCCTGTCATAGCCTCTCCTCTGTGCCTTCGAGACCACACCTCAGTTCATCTTGCTCCTGCCCTGAAAGGCACCAGACACTACCCTCCTCCTTTTACAGATCTGACAGTCATGCATTCACTCAACAAATACGGTGTGACAGGCACTGGGGGTGTAGGTGTGAAGAAGCCTGGCCTAAACTACTCTGCCCTGTGAGGCCAACATCCCAGCCCCAGAGAAACCCATGAATGTGATAGCTAAGCATGCCGTGAAAGACATTAGGAAAAGAAAAGCAGGCAGGCGAAAGAAGGAGGGGGTGTTGGGGGTTGCCACCCAAAAAAGGTCAGTTGGGAAAGGCCTCACCAAGAAGGCGACATTTGAGGAGAGACTGAAGGAGATGAGGAAGGAGAAACCACGAAGCTATCTGGGGAAGAGCGTTCCCAGCAGAAGGAACAGTCTGTGCAAAGTCCCTGAGGCAGGAATATGCCTGTTGTGGAATAGCAAGGATATCTGTGTGACTGAAGACCAGTGAGTGAGGGGGAGACAATGGGGTGATTTTGTGCGCAGCAAGCAATGACGTCAGAAGTGATATTTAAAATACTTAATACCCAGCATGGCGTGACAAGCCAGTACAGTACCACCAACTCCACATGGCCTCTCTCCTGTCCCCTCATCTCTGGGGAGGCTGAGGACCTGGGGGACATAGACCTTCCACTTGTTTCCGTTGTTCACTCGCTGCTGCCATGGCTGTGTCCCTGTACCTTCAACAGTACCTGCTCAGTAATGGTTGCACAGATAGATGTCAAAATCTGTGTTTATTGCAGCTGTATCTTTGACACCTTTAAACATCGCGGTAACCTCTTTCCATTTTTGTTTATTTTCCTCTTTCTTTCTTTCTTTCTTTCTTTCTTTTTTAGAGAGAGAACGAGATAGAGAGAGATTGAGGGAAGGGCAGAGGGAGGAGAGAGAAAATCTTTTTTTTTTTTAAAGATTTTATTTATTTATTTGACAGAGAGATCACAAGTAGACAGAGAGGCAGGCAGAGAGAGAGAGAGAGAGAGAGAGAGAGAGAGAAGCAGGCTCCCTGCTGAGCAGAGAGCCTGATGCGGGACTCGATCCCAGGACCCTGAGATCATGACCTGAGCCGAAGGCAGCGGCTTAACCCACTGAGCCACCCAGGCGCCCCAAGAGAGAAAATCTTAAGCAGACTCCATGCTCAGTGCAGAACTGACTGGGGGCTCGATGGTAGGACCCTGAGATCATGACCTGAGCTGAAATCAAAAGTCTGAGGCTTAACTGACTGAGTGACCCATG